AGTACACAGACTCAGCTCTCACTCCAGTTACTCAGAAGAACTTGTAGTAATGGCTCCTGGTAGCCCCAGACTCCCACAGCACCCCCACAAGATACACCCTGGGCAACGGGGTTGTCTTCTCCAAGTCCATGAAACATTAGTGGACTGGGTGGACAAACGCCCATGACCTCTCCAGGATTCATGCAGGAGTAAGCAGCAGGTCCACTGATCCAGGACCAGGACAGAACCCACATCAGTCCTCTGAAATCGGGACAAGTCCATAGTGTCTTAAAATTAAAAACATTTTTTAGCTGATCCTTCAAAGCCTTTTATGGATCAGGGCCCAGGTGTGGAACTGTTATCTGGTCTAACTGGTTCTAACTGTGCTCTGGCCTCATTTGGCTGGAAATTACTTTCTGGACTTCCTACCACTTTCTACGTATTTGGTTGGACCTGGTCCAACCCTGCGGACCAGTGAAGACCTCCTTCATGGACACAGAAATCAAACCTCAGTAACACCAAAGCCATTTAAGGCCTGCAGGCCAAAGATCACAGCTTGTACTCACATGGGACACTGCTCAGCAGGTCGTACTTGCATGGTTGGTGGACCTGGGGGTCCTCCTGGTTCTGGATACCCCCAGTGCTGCTTTCCATCAAGTCCGGTCCGGGGGGAGCAGAGACAGCTGAAGGGGGCAGAAGGTGCAGTGCCTGGAGTCCATTAGCGAGTCCTGCGGGATGGATAAAGCTCCCCTGGTCCAGGACTCTGTCGGGGGGGAGGAGGGGCACGGGGATCACACGAGGAGGTCCAAAGCTCCCGCTAGAGGATAAACTGAAGCTATTCACTTCTGAATGAGGTGGAAAGGAGCTGAAGGAGGGGGGGTCAGTGATCCTGGGGTCTGATGAGACATTGCATCATCACATTACATCATCTTACTACATCACCATCACTGTGTTTCCATGGAGACAGGTGTACTCACTGATGCTGAGCTCCATCAGATTGGGCATCTGAGAATAAGAGCAAGTGTGATCAGTCATGTGATAAAATGTGAACAGGCTGTATTTTTTTGTTTTACACATTTTATTTCTGACCTCCTCGTCATCGTCGTCAACGCCATCTGAAAGAAGAAACAGCCGTCAGGAAGGATTCGACCCCTGGGTTGAATAAGTCAGGTTTCAGAATTGTTTCCCCTCAAAGTCTGAAATGATGTCGGAGGTATTTTCACCAAACCAAGCAGGTAGATTAATCTTTGTGTTGCTCAGAAACCGTGGACTGTTTATTTCTGTAACTGGCTGATAAACAGCAATACAATTTAAATTTGCTGAATCTTTCCTGGGATCAGTTGCTTGGTCTCTGTGTTTAAGTGAGCGTAACCTCCTGGGAGAGCTGAAACGTCTGTAGTCGTAGAACAACCCTACTGTGCCAGCGACCTGTGTCTGCTTTCGTTTTACTTTTACTATTGGAGTTTCACCTCTGATGTACTATGAAGTAACTCCCACAGACAGACGGCGGCACTGCGTCCTGGCACACAGAGACTGTAGGTGCTGCTCACCTGTGTTCCCCGGGTGCTCGCAGACCTCGTAGATTTTGTACGGGTGTACCGGTGTCTCTTTAGTGCCATCATATTTCAGCTGAAACTCTCGACTCTTATTCAGAGCACAGCGCAGGTTTGCTTTCCACTTGGCAGGGTCCGGTTCATCCACACCTTCCTGATACTTACCTGTCTCCAGAGCCCACGCCTGGAAAACAGAGCAGGGTTTCTACCCACAAATTTTCAATGATGTTTAAATCAGGGGACTGTGATGGCCATTCCAAAACCTTCAGCCTGCGTCTCTTGAGGTATTCCATAGTGGATTTCGAGGTATGTTTAGGATCATTGTCCTGTTGTAGAAGCCATCCTCTTTTCAGCTTCAGCTTTTTTACAGATGGTGTGATGTTTGCTTCCAGAATTTGCTGGTATTTAGTGGAATCCATTCTTCCCTCCACCCGTGCAATGTTTCCTGTGCCACTGGCTGCAACACAACCCCAGAGCATGATAGATCCACCCCCATGCTTAATAGTTGGCAAGGTGTTCTTTTCATGAAATGCTGCTCCTTTTTTTCTCCAAACATGCCTTTGCTGATTGTGTCCAAAGAGTTCTATTTTAACTTCATCAGTCCACAGCACTTGTTTCCAAAACGCATCGGGCTTCTGTAGATGTCCTGTTGCATACTTCAGACGTTGGATTTTATGATGGGGACGCAGATAAGGTTTTCTTCTGCTGACTCTTCCATGAAGGCCTTGTCTGTGCAAGCATCGCTGCACAGTGGAACGGTGCACCACCACTCCTGAGTCTGCTAAATCTTCCTGCAGGTTTTTTGCAGTCAAATGGGGGTTTTGATTTGTCTTTCTGACCAGCATACGAGCAGTTCTGTCCGAGAGTTTTCTTGGTCTTCCAGATCTCATCTTGACCTCCACAGTTCCCCTGATCTGCCATCTCTTAATTACATTTCTTACTGTGGAAACTGCAAGCTGACAACGCTTTGCTATCTTCTTGTAGCCTTCTCCTGCATTGTGGGCGTCAATAACTTTCATTTTCAGGGTCTTACACAGCTGCTTAGAGGAACCCATGGTTGCTGGGTGTCCACAAGTGTGTGCACAAGGTTTGAAGAGTCAAAGTATTTGTACAGCTTTGAAATTGGCATTTACCAATGACAGCTGTTGCTGTGCATCAGATCTAACGAGCTGATTAAGGTCTGATACCTTGTGAGAGACTTTGAGACTCTGGAACTCTTAGGGTGCCCAAACTTTTGCACCATGCCATAATAATGTTTTTATTTTTTATTTTTGTTCAATTTATGGCATAAGAAGTAACTATGCATCACTGTTTGCTGAAAATATTGTGCATTTTTTCCATTTCCAAGAGAAACTGTGTTAACATCTGTTCAAATAAAAAATCACCAAAATCTGTTATTTATCAAGGGGTGTCTAAACTTTTGCATAAGACTGTGTATATATATATATATATATATATATGCAGTATATGATGTAAAGACTAAGTGGTTTTACAGATGTTACAACGTTTATAAATGAGATTTCCCAGGAGCACAGCTGCACTGTACAAAGTCCTTCAGTGTTCACCTGAACAGTCTGTTCACACAGGGTTGCCAGGAGCCCACACCGCTGTGCTGGTGAGGAGGGCATGCTACAGAAAAGTGACGTGTCCCTGCAGCTCCTCTCTACCGCTGCTCCATGGAGAGTGAACTAACGTGCTGTGCACAGCGTGGTGCACTCACTGTTCAGGAGCTGACGGGAAGCTCTCCACACAGTTACTAACTCTGCCCTGCCCCTGCCCTCAGTGGGTGCCATCTTCAGCCTGCACCGTTCAGAGAGAGAAAGCCCACCCTGCTGCCTTCTGGGAGATGCCCCAGGGCCGTAGAATCCTGCTATCGTTTCATGTGTTTAAAACAGTTTCCTCTAGGATAAGGTCACTGACAGTTGTGGACTATGTGTTTTTTGGGTTTGTAGTTATCTGGAGTTACTGGTATTGTTAGTTATGTCCCTACGCATGCTTGCTTCCTTTTGTAACATTCTCAGGAAGGTAAAGCCAATTTTGTTGTACTGTGCATGTGCAATGATCTTAAAAATGTCCCGTTCCATCTTAAGTAGAGGGGAAAACTGGACGGGTATTTAATTATTTCCCTGGAACCAGATCTGTGCAAAATAATGTGAACAGAGAAATAAAAGCAGAAGCAGTGAAGAGGAAGTGACTTCATCCTGTTAGTGAAATGAAACGCTCTCTGAGGAGGAAGTCAAACAGCTTCACTTCTTTTAACTTTAGGGGTGTTTGTTCTGGGTTGGGACCCTGTAACTCCTGTTACACAGTTATTAAAGCATAAACTGAAGGATCTCACACTTTAGCTTCTGCTGTTTGGGAACCTCTGAAAATCAAAGAAAACAATTCACACTGGTTTCTTTTCATTGTAAGTTTCTCTTGTCTCTTTTCATTTGACTTATTTCACTTCTTTTCTATATTCTTGACTTGTTTTACTGTCATAGTTTTTGTGTAGGCCCCAGGAAGACTGGCAAATACATTTAAAATGGTGACTGTAACAATCTGGTCCAGGTGAACCGCACCTTGAAAATGGTGTTTTCCTCATCCAACGCTGGAGTGTGGCGTGTAGCATGTTTCCAGGGGATCTGGAAGAGACGGTGGTCCTGAGTGAGCCAATGGAGACCAGGATACCTGCCGCTGTTCACCTGAGCCAGGAGCCAGGGCTTCAGGCGGATCCTCCGGGGCTGGGCGCTCATGGCAGGGCGACGGGAGGAGACTGGAAGCACAGGGAGGAAACTGGGAGCTGTGGATGTACAAGAGCATGGGTCATCTATTAAAGCATGCAAAATAACTGACCAGGTTTTGTTTGTGGCTATACATCACAGGAGTCTGAGGAAGGTTGTCCTTAATCATCATTATCATCATTATTAAAAGCCTGCCTCTGATTCTAACTGTAAAACTGGAGCTGCTGTTAAAGTGATCGTGGTCCTCACAGAGAAAGATAAGCATATGATACATTGTATTAATAACAGCAATATATAATATGAAGAAAGTCTGCTTTCACTTTATGCTTATTCAACGTGCTTTTGTTCCTTAAACGTTTTGGGAAGTCGGTGAGTCAGTCATGGGAATCGATCTTAGACCAGTACAGATCACATTAAACCAGATCAGATCTCTGAGAAACTGGACCCCGCTCCAGGCAAAAATAAAAAAAATAAAAACCCTCCGAGACTCGGCTGATTCATGAAGACTCACCTGGTCCTGGTCCGGCCGGGTACGGTAGACTCCACTCCGCCAGGCAGTTCACGTTTTAACCCGACGCTGCGTCGCGGTGACGCCAACAAACAAACACTGCCCTGCGGACTCGAACAGGAGAGTTTAAGAAACACAAGAATCAGAAAAGAAATCCGTAAAAATCGCAGATCCTAGCGTCCCCGCTCAGACTAGGGTCAGGTCTGACACGAGCACACGTACTTCCTGCCTGGGAATTCACACTGACAAAATAAAAGCCTCGGGCACTGCGCGATAACAGTAAACGTGAACTAACTTTTACTTCATCTGTTTGTGGACCAGCGACGTCCGTGTGCGCAGCTTGTAAAACTCCTTTATTTTAATTTATTAAATGATGTTACTTCTTTTTAGACAAATGGCTAAATGGATTTGGACAAATGATTGCCGTAATGAATGGAGTGTTTAACTGGCTTTTTCAGCGTCTTATTGTGAAGGTGTACCAGGTAGTTTCCGGTGTGTCACGTCTCTCTGCAGGTGAATTTGCTGTGCCACAGAGCTACTTCAGGTTCCTCCCATCCTCTTTCCGCTGGTAGCGGAAGCTCGAAGGTGTGTGTTTCACTTTCAGAGGAGGTCGATGTTCAGCCCAAAGCTTCTGGCGCTGAGAAGTACTCAGACTGTTTACTTCAGTACAATGAGCAGTACCACACGGTAAAATACTCTGCTACAAGTAGAAGACCTGCGTTCAAAATTTAAAAGTACAAAATATTAGCAGAAAATACACTTAGAATACCAAAAAGTACTCATACAGAATGGCAGTTCGCACTGATGTGCATCACATTATTCGATTATAATTATTGATGTATTGCAGTGTGCATTTAATGAAGTACCTTGTGTTTATAATCTGAATTACTGCTGGGTAACTTGTGAATTTTACACCAACACTCAATACATCTTGTGATTACACTGTAGGGGAGAGCCAGGTAAGATGAGCCAGTTTTTACTTAAGTTGTCTTATGGGCAAGGAAAAATGAGACAGAGGTAGAACAAAAGCATCTACCTTTATTTCAGGATGTCTCCTATTAAATGAAGTTCTAAAAAACAAACCCACCCTGAAAATATGACTTCTCAAAAAGTTTCCTGTGGCTCAACCTGCCCCTGGTTAGGGGTAAGTCAATCCAAGTCAGTGGGTAAGTCGAGCCACCTGACCTTTAGGCTTAAACCTGGGCATACATTTATTAACAAACCATTTCACAGTTCTGAATTTGTCAGAACAAACCCACAGGTAGAATTTCAAGACCACTGAACAACCAAAGCGACTATTCAACATTCCATTCATTAAGGTTGTACAGAAATATGAGTTGTTGCTATTTCCTTGCAGTTCCTCCAGCCTTTTGAGGTTGAGGTAGCTTCTGCAGCACATCACTGCCACTGATCACCCAGATTCTTCTGAGAAATCTTGAACTCATTTCTTTGCCCTCAAGGCTTTCAACCAAGCCAGTGCATTAGCTCCTGGATTTGGATGTACAGTTCACTGTGACAAAGTCACAGACCAACAGGTCTGACATGTCTTGTTCACTTCTCTCATCATTAGCACTCTCATACTCACAAGCATCATCAGGTGTGATGGGAACATCACTCTCATTTGAGCTGCTGTACAATACTCACCAGTTCCCCCATGTGCTTCTCTCTATTACAGTGGAGTGCTTCCTGAATTTATGGTCACATGACAAAACGTGCACAGTTGCTTAGATACAAGGGGTGGGTCTACTTACCCCACTCTCCCCTATTTTGTGTTAACCCTTTTCTGAAAAGTAACTAGTAAATAAATGTAGTGAGGACAAAGTACAGCATTCTTCTCTGAAATGTGGTTGAAGTATGAAGTAGCAGAAAATTAAAATACTCAAGTAAAGTACAGATACCTCAAAACTGTACTTGCCGCTCATCAGGCTGGCTCACAGCCACTGATGGTGTCACATCTTGTTTATGGAAGTTAGAGGAAACGGAGAACCTGTTCAATAGGCTGTGTCTGATATCACTGAACTGTGAGCTGTGCATTAAACGCAGCACAGCCTACTACCAACGTGGTTATAGCGCCCCCAAACATCTACATATTGTGTGTTTGTACAAAGTTTAGCTTTGACCACTTTTACACCAAATCACAGTTTTATTATACAGGGTTATTCAAAAAGAATGAACCAATTTCATTACGCAATATTTTATTAAGGAAAAGTAATACAAAACTCCAGCCAAGTCACAAGTATTCTACTCACAATCAACTTTTATTTCCTGTCTTACAAGTGTTCAATGTGGCCACCACCTGCAGCATGGGCAACATCAATGCGATAAGAGAATTCCTCCCAGGCGCGTATTAGCATATCACAATCCAATGAGTTGATCGCTGTTGTTATTTGATGTTTAAGGTCATCGAGGTTAGTGGGTAGCTGTGGAACATAAATGCGATCTTTTACATATCCCCACAAGAAAAAATCACACACAGCAAGGTCTGGGAATCTCGCAGGCCAAGCACAAAGAGCACGGTCTTGTGCCCCCTTCCAACCAATCCATCACTGGGGCACTTTTTCATTTGTCACTGTTAACACTGGCCAGCGTTTTTCTTCTTGGCAGGAACTATTTGAGTCTTATCTAACCATATAGTGATCTGTTGAGCATTCTGCTCCTTGCATTGCTTTAGTTGACAGAATCTGTGACAATCCACTCCTCCTTGTAACAGCATAATCAATAAGGTGGTAGTGTCCACAGTGGGATGCATCCACATGTAGAAATGGTGTTGGAGATGGTTAACTCGTGTTGTGGACGACAAAGGCAAAGTAAGAATTTCATTGTGCAGAGAAATGCGTTTCCGTACAATATGACAATAAACACTTTGACTTGTTGTGTGCAGAAAATCATCAAGGGCCCACCATTTGAGTTTTTCTTACCCCTACCAAATTTGACACCCTCCCAGGTGGTGCTATCCATGCCTACTCTGGCAGGGATCAGCAGTTTGTCATGAGTAGGAGCCTTATCAGTGACACTTGCTAGCTGTAGGTAGAAGGCTTCCTTTTCTAATTGTTCTAACTGTTTCATCATTCTTTCAGATATCCCAATGGTAAGTGACAACAGCATGGCTGCTATTCTATTCTGCAATGGCAAAAGTAACCCCAGCCTCTCTCATGTCCTCTAGCTTCCCAATCCAAAAGAAGGTGTATTCTTTCTCCTGGATCTGCCCTTGTTTTTCAGTTCTCCTCTCCTGGAGTGCAACAATGTCAACTCCATATCAATTTAGCTCCTTTGCTGTCAAAGCTTTCCTTCTCTCTGGTTTTGAGTCATCATCCAGCATTGTTTAAACATCCCACATTGCCACACTCATCTTTAGCTTCTTGCACATCTTATCTCTCCCCGTGCTCACCCCTACCAGCCAGGTAGGGGTGAGCACGCTTTCATTACCCCACCTTTTCTAGGGGCCTCCCCTGCTGGGGCAGTCAGTGCTATGCCTGAAAAGGGCTGCCTGGACACTGGCACAGCTGCCTCAGTCCTGCTGGTGCTCAGGTTACAGTATGGGCTGCAACTCTTACATGTGAGCCGTCTGTGTATAGAGATCCTACTAGCAGCTTCCAGCTACTTCTGCCTGCTGCCATCACATTCGCTCTGTCGCTACATGACTTCCCACCAAAGCTTTGCCTGACAGACCGCCTTGCACATTGTGTAAGACAGACAATGGTCATGACCCTACCATGCTGTCCCTCTGGACCTCCTAATCAGACACCAGATGGTGCACAAGAGTGTAACTGATGAGGTCGATATGAAGGTTACCCCACAGTGACAACTATGTGCTCAGAGATGCCATCAGGTTGATTCTTACACATGCCATCTGGTGCTTGTGCCATTGTTAGGTATTTTTAGTCAGATAGATATTGGTTAGATACTTTATGTATTAGAAATGTTTAGTGGAGACAGGATGTCTAGTTAGACTGTTAAATGCTTAGTCAGCCTCATGAGATTTTTGCAGTGTGCATATGGTCAAGGATAACTAGATAGAAATGTTTGACTGTTAGCAGATAGGATGATTATTATTATTATTATGATATGTTCAATCGTAATCATAATATCTTCCTATGTATAACATCATGACATGTTACTGGATGTCCTGTCAGAATGTTTTTAGATACACACCACTTAATCAACAGTCACACACACATTGATTTTCTTCATGTTTTCACTATTGCTATGGTCAGCTGTAAAGCTGGCACCAGGGACACGTCACGGTTTGACGTTCCTGTGTAGTATGGGGCTAGCCCAAACCAGATATAATGTACAGGCTTGTTGTGGTTCGGGGTCTTTCATCTTTCATCTGCCTGCGTGCAGTTTGGAGGTGCAAGATACCTGAGCGTGTAATGATAATTTTACCTGTGATCCTTTGAATAAATCAGCACTGTTTTGAAGTTACTTGGACTGCCTCGTCTCTCAGAGTTAGCATGGTAAAAAGAACTGGGGATTCCTCCACCATTGACCCACTCGCACCATCCAACAAATAAAAACTAGAAAGGAAACTGCACAGTTTCTGAAGATACAGTGCCTTGCGAAAGTATTTGGCCCCCTTGAACTTTGCGACCTTTTGCCACATTTCAGGCTTCAAACATAAAGATATAAAACTGTAATTTTTTGTGAAGAATCAACAACAAGTGGGACACAATCATGAAGTGGAACGAAATTTATTGGATATTTCAAACTTTTTTAACAAATAAAAAACTGAAAAATTGGGCGTGCAAAATTATTCAACCCCCTTAAGTTAATACGTTGTAGCGCCACCTTTTGCTGCGATTACAGCTGTAAATCGCTTGGGGTATGTCTCTATCAGTTTTGCACATCGAGAGACTGAAATTTTTGCCCATGCCTCCTTGCAAAACAGCTCGAGCTCAGTGAGGTTGGATGGAGAGCATTTGTGAACAGCAGTTTTCAGTTCTTTCCACAGATTCTCAATTGGATTCAGGTCTGGACTTTGACATAGCCATTCTAACACCTGGATATGTTTATTTGTGAACCATTCCATTGTAGATTTTGCTTTATGTTTTGGATCATTGGCTTGTTGGAAGACAAATCTCCATCCCAGTCTCAGGTCTTCTGCAGACTCCATCAGGTTTCCTTCCAGAATGGTCCTGTATTTGGCTCCATCCATCTTCCCATCAATTTTAACCATCTTCCCTGTCCCTGCTGAAGAAAAGCAGGCCCAAACCATGATGCTGCCACCACCATGTTTGACAGTG